CCCAGGCAACAGCAAAGTGCCAAGAAGCTCACATATGGATTCCATCCCAAAATAACACCCGTCTGCTCCGTGAAACTATTAAAGCTAGGGATCATGGGACATTTTCAATGTAATTTCTTTATTATTAATTTGGCAAGTGTTCTGCTTTCTCATAAGCTCATCCATTCTGCTGCCTTAACACTCCCTCTGCCCCCTCTCTCCAACGTCTGAAGCACTAAAGCAAAATAAATACAGAGCCACATGCTGCCCTTCGCTACACACATGCCACCGCACGAGTCCAAGGAGGCTGCACAGACAGATGAGGACAGACCATAGCCTGAGCACTGCCTACAGAGCTACCTCATTTACAGTTACATTTACAGTTACACCACACATTGCCTATCCAAACATGTCTGATGAAAAGAGCATTTTCAGACTGATAATGAGTTTTTTCCATTTCCCACCGCAGTGAACTGATCATTTTAAAGAGACATTATATATAGCTACCCAAATAGATACAGTTTCAAGCCTCATAGCCTAGTTTATATAATATTTCCACTTGTTTGCAATCACTGATGATCCAGTATCAATAAAGTGAAGAAACAAGATTAGCAGTGAATAGCCCGGACTTTACAAATTTGAACAAACTAAAATACATCTTTAGCCCTAGAAATTGAAACAACCAATTGGTAACCCTTTTGCTTTGTCATTATTAAAGCATATACCATTGTTTTACCCAGGATCTCAGCGTATATTAACAGCTTAAATCACTTAACTCATATTACCACCATAAGATGCTTTGAAAGCAAATTGAAGCACAAAACTATGAAGCAACTTATTCAGCACTCTGTCAGGATTAAGAATCACGATGCCACATCCCCTGCGCTAGCCAGTAAACAACAGACCGAGAAAACAAAACTAAAACAACAACAGAAACCCCACGTTCAAGATGAAAAGTCTCAAATTACTCTGATGCAAAATGGTAAAAGGATCCCAAAGTCTGTACGTTTAACAAAAAGGCCATCTCAGCCTTACCGCCCTGTTAAGCCAAAACCACAGAATAAAAGTTAAATGTAAATACCTGTTTCCTGGATCTTGGTAACTGTCAGTAACAAGAGTGGATGGAACACCAACTTTTTCCATTATTTGCTTTAACTAGATGTGGTTGCTATTTAAACCCTAAAGAGCTATGTGAGATAATCCAGAGGGTGCCTAGAAGTGCTCACTCCAAGTTAAAAAATAGACACTAGGGCAATTTGGTGGCTCAGAGTCAACCTAGTTCTTGCCTAATTACAATCACATTAAATGACAGTACTCCTCCAGAACAAATGACCTAGTGATTATCCTCTACCCGGAAAAGTCAACAAGCACTGCATGAGGGAGGTGGCCTCACAGCCACACGCACTAAGGAAAAGCCACCTAACAGCTATGCATCCATTTTATTTCCGAATTAAAATGTATGTTGCCAATAGCAGAGTAATGCAGTATCCTCTTACCAGTGACCTCTGCTAGAGAATGAATAACATCTAGCTTGTATATTAATTCATCTTTAGACCTCACCTCCAACAGGCGCCAACAATATTGTATAACAAGGTTTGTGGCTGATAGTAACACTAGCTAACCAAAAGTCTTAGTTACAGTCATCAGAAATACCCTGAAGATAAAACCCCACCACGTCTCCTCCCCTACAGATTTTTTCTAATTCTTGATGCTGCTTTTATGGCCCTTGAACTGTATAGCACAACATATGCGTTCATATTCTCAAGCTTTGCTTCATCAGTAACCTCAATACTCTAATTTCTTAAGCAGCTATACAAACTGATCCGAACACGCAGCAAAAATTCTGGGAGGAAAACAGCTATAAATATTTGATTTTGATCATTCTTGCCTATGACATTCAGACATTATTATGATACAGTCATCACATTCTGAGTCAGTATGCATTACACCAGTTAAACCAGCCTCAACTGGGATTTCTGCCAACAATGTTGTATGTTGAACATCCATCCATCAAGTATGATACAATAAGAAGTGCAATACCTGAAAAAACACATTCCTACTATGAATGACTACAGTAAGATATGACTATTAGAGTGGCATCTTCAGAGATAATTTTTTTAGAAAGTTTTTAAAAAGTTTCATGCCCACGAGAACACTCTTTTTATTTTTTAAGGTAAATTATTTTGCTTGGATTGGAAACTTTTCCCCTTATTTTATGCTGCTTCAACATTTACAATGCAAGCACGTCAAATCTGGCATAGTTCATGAGAACCAGAAAGTTAAATCAATTGGTCTGGCTATCTCCACCAATATTTAAATAAGCATGAAGTAAACAAACAGTGAAACAAGTTATTAAAATTTCATACTTCAGGAAATCAAGCCTTACTATCAGCATTTAGAAAATCCCAATGAATGACTTTGAGCCCAAGTGTGCTTCTGACATTGGTATCAAAAGCTAGTCCCAGTTATGGTCATCTGTAAATGTGGCTCAGCCGCCAAGCTCCTCTGGCCTTCCAGATTGGGCCCATAACATCACTGGGAGCAGCTTTAAGGAAAAAAAAAAAATAATAGTTTTAAATGCAATGTTCTTTTTTTATTCTTTTTGTTTCTAAGTCACTTTAGATTCATGTTTTCAAGGTTTTTTTCTTTAGCTGCTAGGGTAAGAAGAAAAAGACAGAAAGAGAGAGAGACTGAAAGAGAAAGAAAAAGAGAAATAAAAAGGAAGAGAAAGAAAAGAATCTTGACAATGAATGCCTTGTCTTTTATATCTCTCTCTCTCATAAAATTGACAGTATTTCAGCAATATCCAAAGTCAGAGCATACTTGGACATCACTGAAACAAATTTACATCCTAGAAGTGATGGCTGTGACAAGCACGCATATTCTACATCTGAACAATTATTAAAATACTAAAAAAAAAATATAAAACAACAAGGGGAAATAACTTCAGTGCTACTCTGCCATGTTAAGTCTGCACTTATCTTTTGAGTAACATCACATCTGTTAATACTAAGATCACAAAAAATGCCAGAAATAGAAATCTGACAACACTGCCTCTGGAATGAGGTTGTTTCAGATTCTTACAATACTGGATTATCAAAATAACTCCCATGAAACTGGTACACCAAAGCCATTAATAGCACAGATTAATACTACAGTCTTGGCATCAGGTTCTCGCATTCTCTCTCTCCCACTCCCTCTGTCTCTCTCATTCCTCTTTTTAAAAGAGGTCAGTAATTTCAAAACAAAAATGTGCCTCCCCTCAATGTATTTGCAATGTTGTGCTTTCCATGAAAATCTGGAGTGCTAGCAACATTTCTGCTCAATATGTTTTGAATAAGGCATTTCTAGATTCTAAAAAGGGATACTTACACTGTACCACAAACTAATTTTGGACTACCAGATCGCAGCTCCTAGTGGGAAACCCTCCTTTATATGAGTGCACTCTCATCTTCCATAAGGAAATTTTTTCTGAAAGTAAAGATTTCTTACATGGGTAAGGGTAAACACGACGAGGACTTGAACATAGGAGCTCTTAAGGACAAGTACTGCTTCCTTTGGATCTTGTACAACACTTAGCAGACTGTCAGCACCTAACCGTAACAAATGTTGAGGAAATATTTAGAAAAAAATAAATAGGTCTTACTCTGACTTCATTTCCATCGGTCTAAATCAGGAGTAACACAATTAAAGTCATAGGTAAAATTATGACACAAAGGTAAATCTGTCATTGAGTTCAACAAGGTGAAGATTTTTTGTCAGGGAATGGTATAAAATCCTTCTCTTTTTATGTGCTATAGATAGTTACATTCATTAGACGTTTCTGTATCTAAGAACCGGCTAACGCAGAGAGATTCAAATAATGCCACCACTTAAGACATGTGCCCAAACATATTCACTGGAAGTTGCAAAGCTTCAGAAATGCATCACAGGATCCATTACTTAGCCTTAAACATTGCAACTTGCACAACCTGGCCTATCATATGATGCTAAGGCGTTTTTCTCTAATTAGATCCCATTTGGAGAATCAAAAGATATCAAACACTTCCTCAGAAATACCACCGTATATGAATCACAAATGCAACATGGCATTTAAGCATGAGGTTGGGAAACTTGACTTCTGTTTCTATATCAGACATACATCTCCCCAACCCCTGCTGAATACACTCTGATCATCATACTGCATGACTTCTCAATTAAACAAGCCAAACTTTGAAGATACACCTCCCACAAACAAAACACTAACAATTATTAGATGCTGTTGTTTTCAACTCCATAATGTCTGATAAGGATACAGACTGCATACTTTTATGCTCTACGCTTGGAACCTTGGGAGCTGTGGGCTAAATTCTCGGCTCAACCAAACCTCCAATGTGATCTTGTGGAAACAATCTAGTGTCTGTACTTTGATTCTCAAACTAGAAAATGAGAGTGATAACATTTCTTTTATTCCGTACTCTATCTTCTTTATTTAGACTGTAATTGTTTTACAGCAAAGATTGTTTTAGGCACACATACCACAGAAAAGGAGGCTGAGATCTTGTCTAGTGCTTCTATGTGCTCCTGTGGTGCACACAATTAACTATACTAGATATAATTCTCAAAAACCTAATTTCTGATCCCATTTCATTTCTTCCTTATTTGTATTTGTGCATTCCAGTGTCTAAGGCTACGTTCTCCCAGTGTGCACTGCAACAATTACTCTAACACTTGTGCCACTGAGTATTTCTTGACTTGAAAGCTTCTATCCCAAAATCTAACTTTGATTAATCTTTCAACTGCATTAAGAAAGCACAACCTCACTCACTTTAGTACATGTACCTCAACTCCACCGTTTGTAAATTCCTGCAGGCCAATACTGTGCTACCTTCTAAGTTCTCTTCTACTAACACTTCTGCAACGAAGGTGAAAATGATTTTTCTGTTTTACCAACAAGCAAAAACCAAGAAATGTGGGGTTTATGCTTAGTTTATTTCCCTCTGTCTCAGTACTTTAGTTTTGGAGTTACATCAATGACTTACCGGTGATAGGCTTCCCGGCGGTACTTCTTCAGAGCGTGCCCATCCATGTTTGCAGGGAGGTCTGCTGCATTCTGGAGTCGGTCGCTCCATGAGGTCGTCATCTTCAAATGTTTATTTATTTCTGAAAGAGGCAGAAGAGAAAAGCTTGCTTAAGTTCAAGGTTTGTTTCACCAGAAAGTAGCCTGTTTCCTGGTACAAAGAGATACAATGCCACTCAGGAAGTCTTGCAAAGTACCCAGTGGAATGATCTGAGCTTGCAGGTCAAACAAGGTGCTTTCCTCTGAGATGTTTGATGAGATAGGGAGTCAGAAGTGAAGACCTGGGAGGCTTTTCTATGTGGCTGGAACTACAAAGACATTCCTGTCCAGCACGGTAAAAATGCATTTAGAAACAGAGACCTTGTTTTCATTGCTGAAAAGGGGTATCTTTCACCTTAAAGTTACTAATATGCATTAGCTACAGGTGATGGAAAACCTACCCTTTATAGATGGGCTACATTAGGCAGGGCAAACCCTACAAACCTCAGTGGGACCAACCTTGCCACTTTTACCACAGGGTAAAAATAGCCTTGTCTCTGGCCATTTGATCTCTAAGCAAAGACAAAGCTTCACAGTGATGCTAAATTAGCAGAAACAATTGGGAGGAAAGTAGAAAGATGATCTTTTGTCCTGTGCAGGTCAGCCACAGTCTTCAGACAGTGCAAGAACACACTGCAAACCTGTAATGCTAGCAATGCAAATATTCACCAGCAGATCTTCACAAACATCTGCACCCCTTCACAAGTACCGGTTGTCAAAACCAAACCGCAGGACAGTCCTCATCAGGAAGGCCCTGCAGTGAGGAAACAGGGGTGCCTTTCCCAATTTGTTATTAGCACACTGGGGCGATCCTGATCAACCCCTCCTCCAGCCAGATGCATGTCCCACTACACCCCTGACATCAGGTGGGATGATGAAGCAGCCCCACGGTGAGTCAGTTCAGCTCACCAGTCCAAGTCCTCACTCATCAAAACTAACCGACCAAAAGCAAACAAAAACTGGGTAGTTCTCCACTGGTCAGCAGGCTGAACCCAGCTCAACCTGCCACACTGCTATCATTAGAGCCGGTGTGAAGAATGGGGTGGGAGACACATCCCACAGTTATACCAAATTAGGTATAACAAGAAACTACATTCTTGTGTAACCCACACAACTGCTGGACCACAGGGCTTGGCTTGTTTGCTCTTCCTTAAAAGAAACAAAACCACCCACAAGCTACACGGGTAATGATACAGCAACCATTTTGAGACACCATTTTACAAAAGGGAAACTAGATGATTTCAGCAAAGCAGGGAGTAGAGCAAACATCCACACCAGCATTACAAGTCATGGTGCTTTTGGCAGTCTCACGCATACTCCCTCTCCTAGAGGAAATCTGTGTAATTTTTTAGTTTTAAATTTGACTAAAAGAGCAACAGTTGCAATTGTCACAGCATTTGTTAGTCTATTTACCTACTAGCTGCTGGTCATAAAAATCAAACAGACGGCAAACAGCTTGGCTGTAAAAAATATGTTCTGCCCTCCCCCCAGCATTCTCCGCTTGTCTCCCAGTTACTATAACCAAGGTTTACAAATGCATCTTCTGCCACATCCTAAAGGTCACCAAATTTAGGCCCTGGCAGGCAGCCCAAGGGACCGCATGCCAGAGCGGAGAGCTCTCTCCCCCGAATTCCCTGCAACACACCCAGGAGAGGAGGTCACTGCAGCGAGAGGGCAACGGGCCATCCCAGCCAGCCGCAACTTCCACAACAGGGCATGCAGGGAGAAGCAGCTTTTAAAATAACCCAGGCCCTGCCACTAAGGGCTTATGAGTAATTACCAGCTATTTAAGCCGTGCCCAAAGGCAGATGGAAGGCAGCACAGGGCACAGAACTAAACAGCCTGCAAGCATCAACCTGTTCTACTTCAAAGGCAAGACACTGCCTGCAGAAACGCTCCTTAATGGCAGCAAGAGCTGCAGCAGTCCTGGTGGAGGACAGGGGCCTTGGGACAGAAGCAGCATCCCTGCAAAAGTGACAGACTCCAGGTCAGCAGAGACGTGCAGTACGGTGAGGGATCTGGTATCACCCCAAGACTGCAAACTACAGAAAGGACTTGTGTCCCCAGAGGGTGGAAAATCACCTGCCCTGTGGATATTTCAAGATGGTCCAGATCATCACCACCTTGGTCTTACCTAGAGCTATTTTAAAGCTACCAACCTAGAGCTACAGATTCAGATCCAAAAGACACATACATTTAAGGCCTCTAAAAGGTAAGTTAAATAGCTCTGAAAAAACTGTTGCATGGCTGGTCTGACGACTCTTAGACAGCTCTGGGTCTAGGTCTTCCAGCTGAAAGAAGTCCAAATCCAAGCTTCCTGCCATTTAGAAGGGCTACATTCTTCTGCTTACCCAGCCAGACACATAGCAAGATTCAAAGATTTACACCCACAGGCAAAGCCAGAGACTTTCCATTCTGTCAGCCTCTTCTTCCCACTTCATCTGCTTCCCATCACCATCACACCACATCAGAGATGCTGACACAGGTACTAGGATAGGATTGCTCCCAACAGCCATCCATGCCAGACACCTGATAGTTCACCAACAGCATCCTACAAAATCCAGATGGCAGAGGAATTTTAGCAGGCTACCTTTAATAACATCCTTTCTAAAATGAGGAATTGGTGAAGCAGTTTGAGCTCCTATGTGATGAAACCTTCCTCTACAGTAGGAGAAACTAGACTGCGTGTGCTGGGATTCAAAAAGCTGAGACTTGAGGAAACCACAAAAATCTGAGTTTCCATAATTAAGCAAGAAAGGCTTGAATTATTTTAATGATCCAGCAGTATTTTGCTGCAGCTGTGATGAACAGAGTTCATAGGCAGGACAAAGTTTGTAGACAGAGGCAATATCTTTTATTAGACCAACTGGTATGGCTGGAAAAAATAGACAGCTCTTAGGCACACAGACTTGTCTAAGTTTTCAAACTCTATCAGTTGGTCTAATAAAAGATATTACATCTACCTTCAGGCTTTGCCCTAATTGATTTATTGAAATCTTTCTTTTAATGTTCACACAGAATAAAATAAAAAAATCTGATGCTGAAGTTTTCTATTACATGAACTCAAAGGCACTCTTACAGCTTAGCAGGCTCACCTGGCACTGTGACAACAGCTTGCTGCTCTGAAACAAAACAGTAACAACTGACAAAAGATACCCTGATGGGTGTTCCCCACCCAAAAGTCTTACTCACACAAAAAGTCTCATGGACTTCAATGGAATTGTTCTGATGCTTGAAAGGTGTAAAAATCAGCCTACCTGCGTGGGTAAGAGACATGGGACCTGATGCCTGAATACAAATTCCTTCTTCCAAATAGAGAGAGAAAAAGAAGAAGGGCTGAATCACTCCATACACTTGTAAGCCACTGGAATAAACATTTAAGAGAGCAGGCAGCCAGCCAGGCAAGATTCTCAACTCCAACCAACTGAAATACGACGCATCTTTCTTTAGTTACAAATCTATTTTTGAAATCAATAACCTGTAAATAGCTTCACGTAAAAATAGAAATCTTTACATAGATAAAGCATGTCAGAACACCTCCCCATAATTTATTGCAAACATGCTCCTTGCTAGTGCAGTCTTAATTAAGCATCTGATAGCATTTATAGTACAGGGTTCATTTTGAAAAAGTATTTAAAACCTCAGCTTCAAAGCTTTCATACAGAGCTACTATCCAGCACACATGCCTTGGTCCAAAAGAACACGAGATTTTTAGCACATATTTTGAAATAAGTTCATTTGCTTCTCTCGTCAGATTTTGGCTGATTTCAAGTATTATCCATAGTGCACTTTTTTCAGGTACTCATACATATAAAATAACATGCCCAGAAGCATTCCCCTTCAAGCTTTACTATTATTTTTCTTATCTTTTTTGGCCAACAAATAGTTAGAAATTTCTGCACCTGATAATACTTGATGTGTTCAGGTTAAATGCACTGCCTGTACTTTTTTCTGAGTTTGTTTTAACACTTTGATGCTGCAATGCCAAATCAGAGGCACACACACTAAAATGTAGAGATGAAACAGCAGTGACAATCCCACTTTTTCCGGGATACTCTCCAGGAGCTTATACAGCAGAAAACAAAAGCATCACTAACCAATCCCAAGGTTGTAGCGTACTCACACTGATATGCCATGCACTGTTCTGCTTCAAGAATCATTAATACTTTGTCAGTACGACCCACACATATACGTGCATGGTGGAAAGCGAACAGAAAGAAAAATCACACGCTACTTAAAAGCTTTGTGTCTAGTCAGAGGCTGTGGGTGTACAGACAAGTCTTGTGGTGCCCTTGCCAGCCTAGAGCATTTCCTGGCTCCCCACTGCAACGCTGCTCCATCTCAAGGGGCTTTGTGGGGTCTCAGCAATGGAGAGGTGAACCATGTTAAAATCCTGAGAGAGGGAAAAAGCAAAGGGAGCAGGATTGGTGTTGGCTTGTTCAAGACTCATATCAAATTCCTGGTCCAGGTCATGCCATAGCCTCACAAACAGGGCAGGGGAGGGGAAAAGCAGTTTTTTCTACAGCTGAGAGGATTGTCCATGTAAGAGTGGTTAAGAAAAGTGAGTGACTCACTTTCCAGGAGTGTTCTTCTCCCCCCACTGAGGGAAGAAGTAGTTTGCACCCAGTTGAGGCTAGACATGTGGGACAGCTAGCATCAGAGGAGATGAAATCCACTCGGGTTAGCATCACATCCTCTGATCCTCTGGAGCATCTGACATCCTGGGATGGACCAGAAAGTGGCCAGGACTGTGTCATCCCCCTCAATAGCACCTCCTACTGCCACTGTGCGATCAGGGGCTGGGCAGGCTTCTGGCCTCACCCAAAGGGCAGTTCTTACACCTGTGATCTCAAAGCACTTCACAAACTCTGGTTCACATAATACATTTAAGAGCAGCAAAAGGTGCTGTCCCCATTTTGTCAGCTAAGGATAGCAGGGCAGAGGAGGTAATAACACAGAGCAAGTGGGAATCAAATGCAGAAGTCCTAATTCCTTAGTCCCTGTGCTAAAAACCAGTCTGACTTCCTACCGCTGTCAG